GTAGTCCAAGACCATGGCGACACTTGAAGGCCCAAGACAGCAAGCTGCCTTTAAAGGGCTTTCCCCCTTAAAAAATTGAGAAATTGAGTTAATATCATGTGGGCCAATGGTCCACATATCAGATACGTAGTATTAAACTGATAAGAACAGATTTACACTTGATCTTAGCCAAAAGGCCGAGAAAGGTATGCCTTTGTTAAAACACAGCTTTTGCCTTTTATTAGCTCTTCGCAGATATCACTCTTGTTACGAAACCAGTGTGGGACGGAAGCATTCTTTAAACTGCTGCACCTCGCCTCTACTTCTCGGTGTTTGGCAACGCTAGTAAAGCATTACACTAATATATTCCCTTGGCCTTTATTTCTAATAATTAATGTACTCTATAGATATGATAATTATTACAATTTTTTTAATGGTTAAATATTTGATTTATTAAGAATAACATTTTTATTTCATTAATGCAATAGTTCTTTCAAAAAAGAAAACTTTCCACTATATCTAAAAAAATCTTTTTATTATTTCTATAAACATTAATATGAAATGCATGATACATATACAAAACTCTAGAGTTGAAATCAAGGTTGAAACAATTTAGTCCCATTTTAACCGTTTTTGCAGAACTTCTTATTTCCCTAAAAGATCTAAAGAGTTTCTATTTGATTGAGATTGAAAAAATTACTTTATTCAAATGGAGGATGCTTAAAGAAGTTTAGTCCACTTATTAATGGATTTCACAATAATTCTTGGTTTAAGAGTTGATTTATGATAAAAAAAAGTTATCGTCTGATCTTAGATGATACTCCCTCCGTCCCCCTAAGATGTTCTCATTTTGACTTTTGGTCATTTTTAAAGAGAGTTGAAAAAGGTGAAAGTTTACCATAATACCTTTAATGAAAATGGGTGGAGTATATTAAATGAGGTGGGTGAGGTGTAATAAATAAAGTAAATAGGAGTAGTTGTAGTATTTTAATTGTTAATAAATGAAATGAGAAGATCTATTATGGACAAAGAAAAAAAGCTATTGGGAAGATCTATGGGGGACAGAGGGAGTATTTACCTAAAATAAATGAAGACTATAGAAAGATATATACAAAAAGATAATGGAAATTGTGACAGCTGAAAGATGAGATTTCTTTGTATGATTACGGAAAGTTGGAAAAACTTTCCTCGAGAAATCATTATCTGCTTTTATAAGATCAGGTCACAAGATTGACAACATCGTGCTATGGTATATGATAATTTTTTTCTATACTTCCTCCACCATCCCTGTTGGGCCAAGGGTGGGGGCGCCTGGGGTGGGCGATTCCACCTTTGGACCGATGATAATTTTTTTCTAAAATAAAAGTACATGATACTATTTTTTTCAGAAGCGGTACAAAGTTGTACACTTAATACATCAAAAAATGCTATAGAACACAAGTTGTCATTATTATTTTTCATAGCAGTTGACTATAGTTGTCAAGGAATCAATTTAACTAAAAACTCAAATTTGTGATTGTGACCCAAGAAAGAATTTCTATATATTCTAACACGCTCCCAAATATTTAAGAAAATTTATTAAGATTTTTAATGACTAAAAAACTTGCTTGTGAGAAATGAACATAGTATCATCACAAAGTTTTATAAAAGTGTTGAAAAATAAAAAAGATGTGGTTAGAATGGATGGATAAAAGTTTGCTTAACTACATATTTTTTCTTTCAAAAGGTTTTTTCTAACAGATAAAAAAGTGAAGTAAAAAGATTTTTTTACGAAATATGTGGGACATTTTTCAATAAAAATGAATAAAGTAAACTAGTAAGAGTCCCACACTATCATTAACTAGTATTTTGACCCGTGCCATGCACGGGGCTGAACAAAAATTTTTTCAATTCTTTTTTTCATGTATTATTTTTTGTGGATTAAATAAAATAAATTTCTTACATGATTTTTAATACTATATATACATCAACATCAAAATAGAATAAATAATATTTGAAGAATTGAAAGTATATACAACACAAAGACTTAGTAAAATCCAAATTTTTTGAAACACTTCAGAGTATGCAACATTTTTGGTATGGTTGCAAGAGTTTCTATTGTCATCTAAAATAAACATTTTTAATTATGTAT